TTAAGACTTTGAGATCACTGAAACATTTACATTAAGAAATTTAATGGACATGAAAGTTGGATCTATTAAGAATAGATATAAGAAGTTGCTACTTAAGCCACTTAGGAAGCTGTCTTAGATGCCTAGTTTAATGATATTGAGTAAAAGTGGAAGGCTCTAGAATTTACATGTGTTAACTATAAGCCTGAAAACCTAAGGAACAAGGAAGTTTATGTGCTCACTGAAATAGATGAATTATAAGCTGCCTTAGATGATTTCTTGGCAAGTTTAAATAATATATTGGGAAGTAGATACTTGAAGATGTTGAGAAAGAGAGCTGAAAAATTATAAAAGGATGTGTTGATTGCATAGGAAACTTTGGATGATTGGCTATAAGTTTAGAAAAATTGGATTTATTTGGAAAATATTTTTGCCAGTCAGGATATCAAAACAAAATTGAAGGAAGAAAATGCTTTGTTTGAAAATGTCGATAAACAATTTAAGGCTATAATGAAGAAAACTAATTCATAGAAGTAAGTTCATAGAGCAAGTGGATTACTAGATAAATTTAGAGAATACAAAGAAACATTAAATAGAATCCAAAAGGCATTAGAATCTTATTTAGAAGAAAAGAGAATGGCATTCCCAAGATTTTATTTCTTATCAAATGATGAGCTTTTGGAAATTTTGGCTAAATCATAGGATTTTGATGCAATTCAAAGAAATTTAAAGAAATGTTTTGAAGCCATTTATAGACTTGAATAACCTGAAGAAGGTGCTAGATCAGTAAATGGAATGATTTCACCAGAAGGAGAGAAGATTCCATTTGTAAAGGGTGTTTCAACAAAAGAAGAAGTTGAATTGTGGTTGATGAAAGTTTAAGATTAGATGATTGAATCCTTAAAGAAGAGAATGAAACAAGGAAAAGTAGAGAGTGAAACCTAAGAAAGAAATCACTGGTTACTAAATTAACCAGCTCAAGTAGTTGCCACAATTTCGAATCTAATCTGGACATATGATACTGAATAAGCTATTAATAGTATGACAGATGATTCTACTGCTTTATCAAAACACTATAATCTGTTATATGAGTCATTGAATGGATTGACTGCCTTAGTTAGAGGTACATTGACTCCACTTCAACACAAAGTCATAGTGGCATTGATTACTTAAGATGTTCATGCTAGAGATATTGTGGATGCTTTAACTGATGAAAATGTTAGTTCAATCAGTGAATTCTCATGGTAATAATAATTAAGATATTATATGGATGAAAATGATCTAATTATAGTGAGATAAGTTAATGCTAAATTAAATTATGGATACGAATATTTAGGAGCTACAACAAGATTGGTTATTACTAATTTGACAGACAGATGTTGGATGACAATTACTGGAGCATTGAATATTAAATTAGGAGCAGCTCCAGCTGGACCAGCAGGAACAGGAAAGACAGAATCAACTAAGGACTTGGCCAAAGCTTTGGGAATGTTTTGTGTTGTGTTCAATTGTTCTGATCAAATTGAATATAAGATGATGGGAAGATTATTCAGTGGTTTAGTTTAATAAGGAGCTTGGGCATGTTTGGATGAATTCAATCGTATTGATATTGAAGTGTTAAGTGTCATTGCTCAACAATTATTAACTGTAAGATAGGCATTAATCAGAAGAGATTAATAATTTATATTTGTGAATCCAGATAAACCAATCAATTTAAAGGAAGAAGTGGGAGTATTCATTACAATGAATCCAGGATATGCAGGCAGAACAGAATTACCAGACAATCTAAAGGTCTTATTTAGACCAGTATCTATGATGATTCCTGATTATAAATTAATTGCTGAAATCATGCTTTAAGCAGAAAGGGTTTGAAGATGCCAAGTCTTTGTCACAAAAAATGACTCAATTATATCAGTTGAGTTCCCAACAGTTGAGTTAACAGGATCATTATGATTTTGGTATGAGAGCAGTCAAATCTGTGTTAGTCATGGCAGGAGCATTAAAAAGAGCAGATATCAATTAACCTGAAGATGCTGTTCTAATCAGAGCAATGAGAGACAGCAATGTGCCAAAGTTTTTGAAAGATGATCTACCCTTATTTTCAGCTTTGATTAGCGACTTGTTTCCAACAGCCATTATCAAAGAAGTAGATTATGGAGACTTGTAGAAGTAAATAGAAATATCGTTGGATAAAATGAAATTGTAAAGAGTGCCAAATTTGATTACCAAAACCATATAACTTTTTGAAACATTCAATGTAAGATTTGGTGTCATGTTGGTTGGTAATACAAACTCTGGAAAAACTTCATGTTATAAATGTTTAGAAATGACTATGAGTGATTTAAGGAGACTTAACCATTAGGATTAAAGATATTAATTAGTTGCATCTTATGTTCTAAATCCTAAGTGTATTTCCATGGGAGAATTATATGGTGAAGTGAATGTATTTACTTAAGAATGTGCAAGATGGTTTGGCATCTTAAATCATGAGAGAAGCTGCTGCTGATGAAACTAATGAGAAGAAATGGGTAGTGTTTGATGGACCCGTTGATGCCTTGTGGATTGAAAATATGAATACAGTGTTAGATGACAATATGATGCTTTGTTTGGCTAATGGTCAACGTATTAAATTAAGAACCTAGATGAGAATGTTATTTGAAGTGCAAGACTTAAGAGTTGCATCTCCAGCCACTGTCAGTAGATGTGGTATGGTTTATTTGACACAAGAAGATTTGGGATGGCTGCCTTATGTATAATCTTGGGTTGAAACTGAATTTGGTCCCAGAGAGATTCAACTTAATGGAAATATACAAAGTGTAGAAATTCTGTAAAAAAATGAAAGGACATATTTGTTATCCTTATTTGAAGAATATGTCAACGATGTCATCAACAAAATCAGAAAAACATTTAAGGAAAACTATTGGAACTAATGACACTCAGTAAGTAGTTTCTTTATGTAATTTATTGGAAGCCTTTATCAGTGATAAATATGGATTCAAAGCTACTATGACTGCAGATTCAAGAAAACGATTTATTTTGTATGCTTTCACATTTGGATGTATTTGGTCAGTTGGAGCTTCCATTGATGACAAACATCATGAAGACATGAGTGATTTCTTCCGTGATCGCTTTTAGAGTATCATATTCCCCAAATGTTGACCAAGTGTACTCATATTACTTAGATACATCTAATGAATTATCTTTCAAGCATTGGAATGATAAAATTGAGGAATTCGCATATGATCCCACTGAACAGTTTTTTAATATGCTCGTACCAACAGTAGATACTGTTCGATATTCTTACATCATTGAACAGTTGTTATCTATAAATAAGAGAGTGTATTTGACTGGTCCCACAGGAACTGGCAAGAGTCAAGTCTTGGCTAAATTATTAGTTTAAATATAGGAACCCAGATCTATAGATCCAGTTTATATAATATTTTCAGCTCAAACTACATCTATGGTCACATAAATGACTATTGAAAATAAATTAGAGAAAACCAGAAAAGCATTGTTGACAGCTAAACCAGGTCGTTAGACTTGTATATTTATTGATGATGTGAATATGCCATAATTGGAAGAATATGGAGCACAACCTCCTATTGAATTACTCAGATTATTAGTAGATAAAAGGATTCTTGTATGATAGAAAAGAGCGCTTTTAGAAATTTATAGAGAATGTTACATTGCTCTGTTGTAGTGCTCCTCCTGGCGGTGGTCGTAATCCACTTACACCCAGATTCACTAGGCATTTTAACATGCTCTCTTTGCCTTAACCTGCATAGGCTACTCTATTTAAAATCTTTTTCAGCATCCTCAATGGATTCTTTGGATAGGGATTTACAGATCCTGTTAAAAAAATGTCAGACACTATCACAAATGCAACTATTGAGGTTTACATTAGAATTATTAAAGAAAAACTACCGATCCCTTCCAAATTTCATTATACTTTTAATTTAAGAGATGTAAGTAAAGTATTTTAAGGTGTATTGATGGTGAAACCTGGATTAGTTAGAGAAGTAGATTAAGTAACACGTTTATGGGTTCATGAAGTCAGTAGAGTATTTTATGATAGATTGATTAATGATATTGATAGAGATTGGTTCAAAGAATTAGTTGGAGACCTTTTGGGAAGACAATTCAAATCCAGAATGACTAAAGATGATGTTTATGGAGCCAGTAAAGTTCTTTATGGTGATATCTTGAAAATTGATTCAGATAATAGAGAATATGAGGAAATTAAGGATGTTGCTAAGTTAGTTAAGATTTTGGAGGATAAATTAGATGATTACAATACGGAATGCAATTCTAAGACAAGATTAGTATTCTTTGGAGACGCAATAGATCACATTTTGAGAATTTCTAGAATCCTAAGGTAACCAAGAGGAAATGCAATGTTGATTGGTGTTGGAGGGTCAGGAAAATAATCGTTAACTAGGCTGTCAGCATATATGTAGAATCAATAAATCTAGTCATTAGAAATAACTAAGAACTTTTCTATTGATAACTTTTAGGATTTCTTAAAGAAAATATTCCAAATATCTGGGTTATAGGAAAAGCCCTTATGTTTCTTATTTACTGATTCTTAGATTGTGTATGAAAGTTTCCTTGAAGATATCAATAATATTTTGAATTCAGGAGAAGTGCCAAATATTTGGAAACCTGAAGAAAAGTAACCATTGCTTGAAGAAGTCAAGAAAATCAATGCAAGATTAAAGAGACCTGAAGATCCTGATACTCTCTATAAGACTTTTGTGGAAAGTGTTCGAAATCAATTGCATATTGTGTTGTGCATGTCTCCTGTTGGTGATGCACTCAGAGTTAGATGTCGTAAATTCCCTGCCATGGTTGATTGTTGTACTCTAGATTGGTTTTCAAGTTGGCCAGCAGAAGCTTTGGTTTCAGTGGCTACTAAAATTTTGGAATAAGAGACTGATTTCCCTTAAACAGATATTCCATAGAAACAATTGATTGATAGTTTAGCTTAGATGTGCATGGAAATTCATATTTCAGCTAAAGATTGTGCTGATAAATTTGAAGCTGCACTTAAACGAAAAGTCTATACTACTCCTAAAAGTTATTTGGATCTGATCGGATTATATTTGAGTAGTTTAAAAAGAAAAAGAGAGGAATTACAATTGAAATAGAAGAGACTCTCAGGAGGTTTGGTTAAATTGAAAATGGCTAACGAACAAGTAGCAGGTTTATAAGTGACTCTGACTGATCTCAAACCTCAATTAGAAGAGTCTTCAATAAAAGTGTAAGCGGCTCTAGAAAAAGTCAACTAAGATTCCTATCTCGCAAGTCAGCAGGAGGAATTGGTTAAGGCTGAAACTGAAGAAGTGAATAAGAAGGCTTAAGATGTAAAGATAATAGCTGATGATGCTCAAGCTGATTTAGATGTTGTCATGCCTGAATTAGAAAAGGCTTTGAAGGCGGTTGAACAGATGGATGAGAATGAAATTAAAATCGTTAGAACTTATAACAATCCTCCTTAAGCAGTCGTCATGGTTCTTGAGGCTGTCTTAACCTTATTAGGTTTAAATACAAGTTGGGAATCTCTGCCAAAAAGGCTATGATTGATGTCGGTTCATTTGTAAGTTCATTGAAGAACTATCCAAGAGATAATATTCCAGATAAGATACTCAATAATTTGAAAAAAATCATTTCGAGGGAAGACTTCGTACCTGATCTAATCAGAACTAAAGCTAAACCAGCTGCAGATATGGCAACTTGGTGTTTGGCTATGAATACATACTCCATTGTAAGTAAGAAAGTAGAACCAAAGAAGAGGAAAGTGGCTGAAATGATGGCAATTTTGGATTAAGCAAATAAGGAATTGGCAGTTAAGGAAGCTGAACTTTAGAAGGTCAAAATGGCTGTTAAGAAATTATAACAAGAAACAGCAGAAATGGCACAAAAGAAACAAGATCTTGAAAACTTAAAATTATTAACTGAGGCTAGATTAGACAGGGCTTAGAAATTAATTAGTCTTACAGCATCTGAAGCTGAGAGATGGGCACGCACTGTGGAGGAATTGGGAGTAGCCATCATCAATTTAATTGGTGATGTCTTTTTGGCTGCAGCTTCCATTTCATACAATGGACCTTTTACTGGGCCGTATAGAAATGAATTGATTACTCATTGGACTGATAAGGTGAAAGAAGCATAAATTCCTGTATCTGAGAAATTCACACTGGTTGGTACTCTAGGAGACCCATTATAATTGAGAGATTGGACAATTCACAAATTGCCAAGTGATTCTGTATCTTAAGAGAATTCTATTCTTGCCACTCAAGGTTACAGATGGCCTTTGATGATTGATCCACAATAATAAGCAAATAATTGGATAAAGAGTTCGTTTTAAGATCTTAAATTGAAAGTAGTTAAATTCTCGGATCCAAAATTTTAATCTGACATGAGATTATGTATTACAAATGGATACCCAATTTTAATTCAAGATATTGAGGAGAATTCTAGATCCTTCAATTGAAACTATATTGTAGAAATAATACAAAGAAGCTGATGGTCGTATTCTGATTAAGTTTGGTGAAGCTGATATAGATTTTGATAAGAACTTCAAATTGTTTATAACAACAAAAATTCCAAATCCAAAATATTTGCCTGAAGTATTTATCAAGGTTACAGTTATTAATTTCACAGTCACCTTTGAAGGTTTAGAAGAGCAATTGTTGGCAGATGTTGTGAGATTAGAGAAGGAGGAGATTGAAATTCAAAAGGACGAGAATGTCATGAAATTAGCTTAATATCGAAAGATGTTGAGTGAATCTGAATCAATGATCTTAAAACAATTAGCTGAAGCAGATCCAGAGAAGATCTTAGATAATGTAGATTTGATTACATCTTTGTAATCCGCTAAGACCACAAGTGAAGAAAGTAATATCAAAATTGAAGAATCAGTTGTGTTAGAGAAAACTATAGAGAGAGTACGTAATGAATATAGATCAGTAGCAGTGAGAGGTTCAGTGTTGTATTTCGTAATCAAAGATCTAAATCTTATTGATCCAATGTATCAATACTCCTTACAATACGTTTAAGTGATGTTCAATTTAGCTATGAGATAGGCATAGTCAGCTGAAGAATTATAACAAAGGTTATCCAACTTGATTGATAGTATAACAAGAGTGATCTTTACTAATGTATGCAGAGGACTGTTTGAATAACATAAACTTATTTATTCATTTTTGATTGCAGCTTAAATTAACAGAAAGGCAAATAAAATATCAGATGGTCTTTGGGGTTCATTTTTGAGAGGGGCAGGAGTCATTGAAAAGTCAAAATTGCCTGCTAATCCAGATAAAGTATTAATTGGAGAATCATCTTGGGAATTAGCTGCATTTTTAGACCTTAATTTCGAAGTCTTTAAAGGATTATGCTAACACATATAGAAGAATATGGCTGCATGGAAAACATACATCTAAGCATCTGATCCTTTGGTTGTGAAATTAGAAGAACCTTATCAAAGTAAATTGGATGAATTTGAAAAAATGATGATTATTAAGATATTTAGAAGTGAAAAAATATTATTTGCACTCTCAAGTTACGTTGAATAAAACATTGGTAGATTTTATTTGGAATCTCCAAACACAACTATGGAAATATTATATAATGACTCTGATGTTACAACTCCTATTATATTTGTACTATCCTAAGGAGCAGATCCAACATCACAGATATTAAAATTCGCAAAGGAAAGAAACTTTGAAGAAAACTTAGCTATTATCTCTTTGGGTCAAGGTTAAGGAAAGATTGCAACCAAACAAATTAATGATGCTACCACAACGGGAGGTTGGGTGTTATTATAAAATTGTCATTTGGCAAGGACATTTATGCCAGATTTAGAAAAATTGGTGGATGATATTACAGCCAAGAAATAAACAGTAAACCCTAGTTATAGGTTGTTCTTAACTTCAATGCCTGCTTCATATTTCCCTGTAAGTATACTTCAAAATGGAATTAAATTAACAACAGAACCACCTCGAGGTTTGAAGGCAAATCTGAAGAGATCTCTTTAAGATATTTCTAATGAATTCTTGGATACTGCTGCTAAACCAGAGATCTATCATAAATTGGTTATGGGATTGTGCTATTTCCATGCCATTATTTAAGAAAGAAAGAAATTCGGTCCTTTGGGATGGAATATCAAATATGAATTTAATGATAGTGATCTTGATACTTCAAAGACAGTCATTAAGATGCTTTTAGGCGAAAATGACACTGTACCTTGGGATGCCATGTTGTATGTCAGTGGTAATATCAACTATGGAGGTAGAGTAACTGATGATTGGGATAGAAGATGTTTGATGACCATTTTGAGGAAATTCATATGCAATGAGGTCTTGGATGATAACTATGTCTTTTGTGAAAATAACATATACAGAATACCTGAGAAAAATGTAGTTGAAGAGTATATTAAATATGTTGAATCTTTACCCATGACTGATGATCCTGCAGTTTTTGGTATGCATGAAAATGCCAATATTACATTCCAATAAAGAGAAAGCGACTCAATCCTAGAAACTATCTTGTCTATATAGCCAAGAGAAGGCGGAGGATCATCAGAAAAAACACCTGATTAAATAGTATTAGAACTTGTCAAGAGTATTTAAGATGATCTCCCTCCTCTCTTAAACAAAGAAGAATCTAATAAAGAATTATGGTAAATTAATCCAGAGAAAAATCTAATTCCCTCCTTGTCTACAGTTCTATTGTAAGAATTAGAGCGTTTTAACATTTTACTCTCAACTATGGGCAGAACATTGTAAGGATTGGCTTAAGCTATTGAAGGTATAGTGGTAATGAGTCAAGAATTGGATAGCATGTATTATTCACTAATGAACAATGAAGTTCCAAAGGTTTGGAATAAAGTCGGATATTTGTCGTTGAAGGGTTTGGCATCATGGATTAGAGACTTGAAAGAAAGAGTGAAGTTCATGTCGGAATGGCTTGTTACAGGAGGACCTAATTGTTTCTGGATATCAGGGTTCTTTTATCCTTAAGGATTTTTAACTGGTGTTTTATAAACTCATGCTCGTAAGACAGCCATAGCTATTGACAACCTTGTTTTCTCATTTAAAGTGTAGGAATTTGAGAAGGAACAATGTTCAATCAAACCAGTTGATGGTGTATTTATTTATGGGCTGTTCTTAGAAGGGGCTCAATGGAAGAAGAAATGTCTGGCTGATCTTAATTTTGTAATATATTATTATTTATATTTAGGGTCAAATGAGTATGTTGATGCCAGTGATCCACTTCTTACCTTTACAATAGGACAAATATTAATCGAGATCTGATAATTATAGGTATTAATTGTGATTAATTAATTAGTTGTCCTGTTTACAAAACATAAACTAGAGCTGGTGTGTTATCCACTACAGGACAAAGTACAAATTACGTTTTGGCTGTGGTAATTAATTATAAATATATATAATTTTAGGATTTACCAACTTTAGATTAACCTCCTGATTATTGGACATTAAGAGGAACAGCACTTATTTGTGCACTTAAAGAATGATTTATAATTGAATAAGATAACTTTAGGTTTATTTATTATTACAATAACTCTAAAAATAAGTAATATCAAAATATTATCAAAGTGGCAAGAGAGCCTTATTTTCTTATTTTTTTTTAGACTTTTCGTTATCTTTCTTTTCTTAACTTACAACTCTCTTTCCTTGTTTCCACTACCCCTTCTCATGAGAGTTATTTGGATAGATTATGATTCCCTATCCATGCATTAATCCCTTTTTCCACATTCCCTTATAAATCTTTCCATCTGGATAATAGTATTCTCCATATCCATCCCTTACATTATTCACATAATTCCCAATGTATTTCTTGCCTCCAGGCCATATAAATACTCCATGACCATGCATCATTCCATTGCACCACTTCCCTTCAAATATTCTACCATCCTACCAAATTACTCTCCCTTATTCCAAGGCCTTTCCATGTATCCATTAACCTTCAAACACAAATTATTCCTTATTATTGTATAGTTTCCCTTAACCATTCCTTGAATTTTTTTGAAACTGTCCAACAAAAACTGATCCATCAGGCATTTACTCTTTTCCAATTCCATTTTTTTATCCATTTTCCCATTCACCTTCATAAACTATTTATTCATTGTTAAGATGGAAACCATCACCATTAAATAAGCCATTTCTGAACTCTCCGATGTAAATATTTCCATCTTTGCAAATCATCCTTCCATCACCGTTATAAACATCATTCAACCAATATCCTTCATAAATAAAATCATCACAAATCAAAAATCCAAAACCATTTCTTTTTTATTAAAACCACTCCCCATAATAAATCTAATCCTCATGAAGTTCAAATGGTTTGAAGTGAAAATTTGTTACTTTATACGGTCCCAACTTGCTCCAAAAGCCAGCTATAATTCGATTCTTTATCATAATTTAAGAGCCAAGATATAGCTTAGCCTAAGCACTGGATGGATGATGAATAGATGTTTTAGATTCCAAATCATCCAAAATGGCTACTATTATAGGATCATGTTCTTCCATCTAAAACAGCCTATTGTTTCTCAATTTGTTTCTGCATCCATTCACGTCCATAGCTTGATCGTCATGAATTTCTACGTTAGCATCCAGAGATGAGCCTATCCCTTGCTCTTTTAACTAGCTTTGAGCATTATTATTGAAAACTGTTGACTGATCTAATTGAGGAAAATTTTGATTCTCAAAATCCCCCTTATAGAATGTTATTTAGTGTTGTTAAGGCTATTCTTCCTCTAATTAAGGCACATCGTTCATGAATTACTCTTTATTTGGCAACGATTTCATTTTGGTCTTCAAACTCCTTGAATTAGATTTCTAATTCGATTCAACTTGACCCTATTTCTTCTCCTATTTTAAATTTATCTATGCAGCGTCATTTGAACCTAAAGTTATCTTTGTAAATCTTACTTGTTTCTTTTGAATTCTTAGATCCCATTGATGTTGGATTAAATTGTTTTATAAATACAAATTAATTATTACGTGATAATATTCAGTTTTTTTATTTCATAATATCTTATAGCTACTTTAACTTAGGAATCAAAGTTTAGAATTTATATTAATTAATTCAACTACTTGTTCTCCCAGTAAAATTGTCTCTCCTGTTATGAGGTAGTTTTACTATTGTTTTTCATTCAATTGTACATTAGAGAAGACTGTAATTAGTAATAAGGAGCAGTTAGGGCTCGAGGTTTAGGTGAGAAATAAAATTGATTGAAAATTATTGTTATTTAATTGGCCTCACTGAAGTAATATGATTTAGTGATTATTATTAAAATTAAGATAACACTATAATAATTTCGATAAATATATCAATCGCTTATATGGAAACACATGAAAAAATCCAGAAAAAGCTATCATAAGTTGATCACTCAACTTCATCAAAACTAAATGAGTGGGAGTTCATAGACACAGATTTGAATGAATAGCCCATTTTGCAAGACCAGGATAATTTCTTAACCACCTTACAACAACACAAATTTGTAATAGGGATTTCTAAACCACTTGAAACTAGAATTGGTTTAAATTCAATTCTAAAAAATAAAATCACAATCAAAGGCCGATTGGGTATTTAGGCCGTGCTATCTTGATCTCTATTATTATATATTTCTGAACGAATTAAATCTGTATTTATTACATTATTGTGCTTGCCTTAATTTCTTGCCTATTGAAGATAAGGGGAAAATGAAATGCATAGGCAATATTCTGGTAATGGATTAGACCTTTAACTATCACGAATTAAATAATAATAGAGAATAGAGGCCTTAGAAATTAATCCAGAGCTTGTGCCTGTATAATATTAATTTTGGGACTTCTCTTATAAAAATCAAAGCAATAACACATTGAGAAAGTGCTAAGTATTGGCAGTAAAATCTTAAGATTCTATCTTCATCACAAGGATTTTAGAATGGTAATGGAGCATTCTATTTTTCTATTAATGATTAATTTAAAAATAAGATAATAATTTTTAAATAATTTTAATAAAGAAATGTATTTTTTATTAAATAAGAAAGATAATTGAAAATGAATAATAATATACAGAAAGTAGTAAATGTGATAATGATTGATGTATTGATGTAATAACAAAATTTCGATAAATAATAATATCGTTCCATTTTACTATTTCTTTATCTAAAAATTAAAAAAAATCTTACTGATTTCACAATTATACTTTCAAATTATATAAATATGTAATCTTTCTTCTTAAAAAATTCAAGATTTATAAGAATTTTGGTTAATTTAGCTTATGACAGAATATTTATTATTTATTTTTTATAATTTATTATAAATTATTAGGGTTAAATAAAATTTATTAAAATATATAATTCAAGGTTTGACCATGTTCTTTTTCCATCCACTTAGAACAACATATAACAAGTTCAAGGATATAATACCTAAACATCCTAATCCTACGAGGAACAGATAATAGAGTATCTCATTCTTCATGATGTTATCCCATCCACCAAAAAGCCAAAAAATGAAAGCGAGGGATAACAATTAGAAGAAATTGAATGCCTTCTAAATATAGGAATAACTAAATAAAATGAAAATACTACGTTGATTTTTGGACAACAACATTTAGAATTCCTGGTTATGCATCGCAATCCAAATCTGACATTCCAAAGCTTTCTTCCTTGAATGTAATCACAAAGAATGTTTTCAATTGGAAATAGATTATGGACAATACTTATCCAATTATATCTTGATCTTCAGAGAATAAGTAAAATTGAATTAGGCCACACAAACAGAATAACCCGAAGTACTCAAATTGAATATTGAATTCTGCCAACTAAATGTACACTGACTCAACTAAGAGGAGTTTAACATATAATTCACAAATGAGTTAAATGCTCCATCTGATGCTTAAGAAGGAACTTCCAGCAAAAAAGTTTAAGTGCATGAATCCATTAACTATTTGGAGCAAATTGAGTCCTGCAATAACTAGATAAGGTATTTGAATGGTTTGTAAGTCTTGCAATTAAAGATAGAAAAACACTATCATAAGAGGGAAATTGAAGAAGAATGCATCTACCATTCTACACAGTGTCATCATGTGTTCAATTGTGCCATCCTTTTTATTTTAAGCATAGATGTAATAGATCCAATAACAAATATCTAAATTAGTTATAACAAAGAATGTTATCTTAAATAATCTCCAGCCATTCTCAAAGGTACTATCCAAATAAGGCAATTCATCAAGCCATTCATCGTTCAGAAAATAGATGAGCAATCCTTTCAAAACTTGAACGAATAGAAACAAGCCCTAATATTTTTAAATTTAAAATACCCCTAAAATTTCAGCATGATACAGATCTTAATCTTAAATGATCAATTTAAGTGAGAAAAGCAATGCTGTGGAAAAGACAGAATAGTATACTAGAAGCAAATATGTAGGAGTGAAGTATTTCTAAATGAATTTATCTAACTTCGTAATGCATCCATCATTGTTTTCTTCTGTTTTTTCATCAGCCTGTCTCCTGCAAGAGCATCCTTTAATTCGATTGAAAAACCCTTCTTCAACATCAGGAACCACTTAGATGGGTTATTTTTCAGATTCAAGGGGTTTAAGATCATTAGAATGTGGTTCCTGCTCTTGATTATAGTTTTAATCGTAATTATTAACCTGTTCCTCTTTTTATTCAATTGGAGATTTTTCTTAATGATTATCCTAAGTAAATAGTTTGCTTGATTACATTTTATTCTTGGTCATCTCCTTCAAATTGTATTACTTGATTATCTTCTTCCTCTGCCATTGTTAACTGATTAAATATTAAAATAATATAACTGTATATACTAAAGAAGATATAAAATATAAATTTATTTCATTAAATCCTATTCAAAATGACAATCTTCTCGTGGGAAGTCATCCTAACATCGATAGCCTT